CAGGCATTTGTAAAATCAAATTTACGGCCAGTTTTATTGATGTGCATTAAGAGAGAGTTTGAATGGTTTTCTAAAAAGTAAATAAATTTTTATATACGTAGATACGGGCTTTTAGATTTCATGATGTCTCTCAGATCTCTATAAATTTTTTTACATTGTAAACAATTTTTTAAAGTACCGGCATCTGAATTAAGGTTAGATTTTTTTCTAATTATATCTCCCATCGTTTTGGACGTGGTGGTAAAGATCCTAGTATTATGAATAACCAACTTATTAAAAAGAATGTTATAGGGTAAGACTATGAATTGTGTGTTGTTTTTGTTAAAATGCTCTCGGTGGTGTTTAGTTTTTGGATTTGTGGATTTTGTAAGCTAGTTTTCTATCATTGAGGATGAAAGGATATGTACAGTGAAGAAGTTTAAATATTTTCCCAAAGCAGTCCTCTTCACCTAAATATTGTGCGCTATATATTGAAAGGACTCTGAGGAAGTAGAATCCTATGTCTAATACTGATTTTATTTTTTTGATTGTGGTGGGAATAGAAATTAATTAGATCATTTTTGTTAGAGGGTTAAAAAATAAACCCTAAAATCTTATTTGTTATTATTATGTATTAATAAGATGTCGAAGAAAGGCAGGGATTTGTTTCTGTCAAATTCATGTGTGAATTCCATGTTAGGTTCAACCATATTAAGTTTCTTTATTATGTCTAATATAATTTATATTCTGAGGATATAATAAAAGAATATCATCTGTGTATCTTAGATATGTTTTATGTGTGTTTTAATTGATCGGACTCTAAAAATTCTACGAAAAGACAAGCAAGGACACCACTAATAGGAGATATCATAGGTAAGCTGAATTTTTGCTCATAGAAATTTTTATTGAAAGCGAAGAAACGTTGGATTGTGATTAGTTTACATAGTTTAATAATTTTATGGACAGGTAGAGGAAACTTTTCTTTGACTTTTTAGAGGTATTTAATGTTGAAGCACTTTAACGGGTGTCTTTGTGCATTGTGATTTGATATCTAATCTAGCCATAACCATGATATCAATATTTATATTTCGTAGCCTCTGAATTAAGTCACTAGAGTGTTTAATGTATGCTGGATGGATGGTGCCTAAGAATGGAGTTTATGAAATAACTTTAGCTAATTTGTTGGGTACACTGTTGATCCCGGACACAATGGGTTTGATGGCTATGTTAGCTTTGTGTGTTTTGGGTAAGCCATAGAGTGTGGGTGTAGTAGAGTTATATTCTGTTAATCTAATCCAAGATTTGTTTCAATTTTTAAAATTTTCTTAACTGTTTTGTTGAATATTTAAGTCTATATTTACTGTTTGTTCGTTTATGTTTTATGTATGTATTGCACATGAAATATGATTAACCAATGAACATCAAACAACGCAAAAGTAAAAATACCAGAATTTCTTTTTCACCATATCTAATTCTCTGATGAAGCTTTAATAAAAGTGAAACATGTTAGATTGATATAAGTTTCCTTGGTTTATTTTTTATAATTCCGTGGGATTCTGATCCATTTTTATTTATATTTGATCTCAACTGATATACAAATAAGTATATAACAAATTAAATAAAAAACTAAACAGTTAAAAATAAAAATGTAAAAAAAAGAAATGCGTATAAAATAAATTTTAACATTTATAGATAAAGTAAAAAGGATGAAAAATAAAAACAGAAATATTTTATTGATGGAAGTAGAAATAAACATTTGCTGGTTTTAAAGTCATTGGTTGTGTTACATTTATAATATTTGCAGAAAAGTTGGTTTAAATGTTGGAAACTATGAAAAGTACCAATAGAAATACCACCATAAAGGTGGATTTTCTAGTCCCTATAGAAGATATAAGTGAAACATTTTTGTCCCAATAAGAGGTTATAATAGATTTGAACTATGTATTTATTAAATCATTTATTGTTTGGAATTCATCACTATTTAATTAAAATGTATGGAGAGATTTCACAAAAAAAAATCTAAAGTATTTTAACCATCTGTTTATTCATCTCACTATTTATTGTAGCAATAAAAGCAGATAAATCCGAAATATGTTTTCTTATGAATACTTATAAGTAAATAAGCGTCGTTGAAATGTTAATATATATGACTGCTTGGTAGTTATTGCTCGTACTACAAATATAAAACCCAACGCAAATATTTTTAATCTTTATTCTTTGATAACTGAAAATGTAATAAAACATATCTTATAACTTCGGATTCTAGCTAGGAGTTAGATGTCTGTTTTCTAAACAAAAGGATAAAGTTTTGGTTTAGCTAATTTGATGGATCCAAAGTGTCCAGTTTAGCATTATGTTTACACTGTGGATCTAGCCCGAATATTAGATAGTCTAAGTATATTATAGTCAAAAACTATAATATAATATACTAAAAATACACTCCATGTGTCACCTCGAAAATTTCTTAGCTCTAACTCTGAGACAGATCGATAAAAATCATTTTATTAAATTAAAGATGATATGAATTTATTGTCTAAAATAAAATACAAAAATTTATAATTTTAAATCTATTTTAAATAAATTTAAATGAATGTAATCATTAAAAAAATAGCATTTTTCTTTAATTTATGTACTATATGCACCTAAATAAACAATAAAACTAGCCGAATCAAGAACAACAAAAATATAATCTCGACGATGATTATAATGGTGATCAGGTATTCTATTTTACAAATCAATTTTTAACTTTTTGCTCTCATATATGTAAATTCCGAAGGTGAAAATAGATGTGACACATCAAAAGTTATTTCTGATTATTTCTACAAGTGTGTAGAATTTGCTGTTGAATATTGCATTTCTTATAATTTAAAGATGCCGAGGAGTGAGAGAGAAAGAAGGAGGGGAGAGATGGAGAAGGAAAGGGCAAAAAGACGGGAATTCGGGCTTATTATGAAGTGAAAAACTGTATTAGTGCACACTGGAAACATCTAGAATTGTCATTATTATTTGTTTTAAAGAATCCGGAAATATGTGGCTCTAATAAATGACAAGAATGACCACACAAATAGTCATTATAATCTGTCATAGATTTCTTTGAAAGGCATGAAATTGTTCCCGAAATAAACTTGTACTTAATATTACTGCCAGAAAGCCTTTGCTCTCAATGAATCGGATAATTTTTTGCTTCAATCCAGATAAAGTAAGACTCGCAATAAAAAACGTACCGGATAGACTGAGAATAAGTTAGTTACACAAGAAGAATAGAAGTTAGAGATTTCTGACGGGAACTTCAGTTTAGATTATTCTACTGGAATGCAATATGATTGACATACTCTTTGACAGGAGGAGCATGTATTTTTTTTAAATATTTTAATAAAAGATCTTTTATGGTTTAGTTAAATAGCTAGCGGAAAAGACAAAATATAGAAGAGTGTATAAAATAAATTTTCCATTGAAGCAAGGAAATGTAACAATTAACAATACTAATCTCCCCAAGGAAAAAATTAAACAGAAGTCTGTTCTCTGCTGGCTTTCACGTGCTAATACCCTTGGAAAAGGTATAAATCCTCTTCTCTAAAGCTATGGATAAATAGCAGGACATACCGAGTTCTACAGCCTTGGATGGTAACAGGTCTACCGCAGAAAGAAATGGCAACCTACTGCGGGAGAAAATCCGCCTAAACTTGTATCTCGCATGGCATATAACTGACTGAAATAGCAGTTCCATTGATAAATTATAAAGTTATTATAAATTATAAATTATCAAGGCATATCTATTAGGAAACGTATTAAAAAGAGAAACAGATTAATTTGTTGCATAACGCATTTCTGAGATGAATCCTTGGAAAATACTGTTTATTTAATACGAAACAGGTGTACTCAATCTTTAATATATAAAAAGGAAATGTCTTGTAAATATTAACGTCCATTCATGTATTTTGAAATGATTTATTTAAGTACTCAGAAATTGTGATTTTTCAAAATTATACACAGAGGGCAGGTAAATAAATATTGAAGTTAAAATCAAATTCTTTATACATTTTTACATTTATGAAACTGGCTTATACCATTTGAAATCCGTGAGATATATTTGTGAAATTTCTTACCGCAACCAGATTGAATAAATGTAAAAGACATTTATGATTTTGACGTGCACGCTCCCATGCTCATAGACTTATTTGTACATAGAAATAAGGTTTTGAACTAGCACACACAGATCCCTCTCTCACGGAAAAATATATATATATATATATATATATATATATATATATGTGTGTGTGTGTGTGTGTGTGTGTGTGTGTGAGTGTCTGTGTGTGAGTGTCTGTGTGTGTGTCTGTGTCTCTGTGTGTGTGTGTGTGTGTGTGTGTGTGTGTGTGTGTGTGTGTCTGTGTGTGTGTCTGTGTGTGTGTGTGTGTGTGTGTGTGTGTGTGTGTGTGTGTGTGTCTGTGTGCGTGTGTGTGTGTGTGTCTGTGTCTGTGTGTGTGTGTGTGTGTGTGTGTGTGTGTGTGTGTCTGTGTGTGTGTGTGTGTGTGTGTCTCTGTGTGTGTGTGTGTGTGTGTGTGTGTGTGTGTGTGTGTGTGTCTGTGTGTCTGTGTCTGTGTGTGTGTGTGTGTGTGTGTGTGTGTGTGTGTGTGCGTGTGTGCCTATGTGTCTGTGTGTGTGTGTGTGTGTGTCTGTGTCTGTGTGCGTGTGTGCGTATGTGTCTGTGTGCGTGTGTGTGTGTGTGTGTGTGTGTGTGTGTGTGTGTGTGTGCGTGTGTGTGTGTGTGTGTGTGTGTGTGTGTGTGTGTGTGTGTGTGTGTGTGTTTATATATTGGAGTGTATGGCAGATGTCAGTTTTAGTTTTGAGGATAATGTGTGCTGCCACTTCTTACTTCCAATGATATAAAATTTATGTTCAATGACCTAGTTATTAGCTAATGCATGTGGAGCCTTCTGACATGCCATATTTTTTTTAAACGCTATCTTCGTATATTGAGCGGCCATCCCCAAAAGCACGCAGTTCAACATTGAAACAGAAGAAGTCGGCATCGTTTACTGTTATTCGAGAATAATCGAATCACTGGGATGAGTAACACATGCAAAAATGTAAAGGAATCGCAAAATTCGAAGAATGAAATAGAAAAATGAAGGAAAATTATAAATTTGTTATCTTGGAGTTCATTTCTAACTCTTATTCTGAAAAGCAACATTGCATTATCAAATGATTTCGATTGATTTTACCATTTCTCTCGCTTACTTTATATTCCTCTTCTTCTGCAATTATTCTACATCTATCTAGCCCAGTCTGTTTATATCTGCCTGTCTGTTAGGTCTGTTCTAATCTATCTATCTATCTATCTATCTATCTATCTATCTATCTATCTATCTATCTATCTATTTATCTATCTATCTATCTCCTTTTCTTTGCTTCCCCTCTTTCTTTCTGTCTCTTTTTCTCTCTCTCCTCTCTCTCTCTCTCTCTCTCTCTCTCTCTATATATATATATATATATATATATATATATTTTGTGTGTATGTGTGTGCGTGCGCGTGTGTGTGTACATATGTATGCGTGTATGTACATATCCAATCATCTTTGTTCTGTATTTGTTCTCATCAGGATTACTTCCTTTGACCACCAACGATCATATCTGTTCTTGCCGGGTACCACTGTGCCAAAAACCAGGTCGTAAGTCAGACTTTCCCTGCGGGTCTTCTCTCTTATTTTCTTTTGTTTTGTCTTAACTATTTCTCCCTGTATTCATCTTCGTTGATTTAAGACACATCAGGGTAAGCTGCGACAAGAAAACGGGTATTTGTATCCATTCAAAGTTATAAAACTGTAATATAACTGTCAAGAAGAATATTTGTTTGCAGCATTTTTTAAGGTAACAACCGCTTAAATTTTATTTCTTAAGTAGGTTTCTTTTTAAATTGGAGGCGCAATCAATGATATAGAGTGATGTTACAAACGTACAGATTCCTTTAACCATTACGTTACATAAGAGTCATTATGTTATTGTGCATTGTTACATATGGTTTAGGAATAACTTCTTTATTTTTGTTTCCTTTTCTTTTTTCATTCTTTTTTCATTCTTTTCTTTTTTCCCCTTTCAGCCACTAAAAAGAAGCACTGGTTTTAGGCACATAAATAAAAGAACAAGTAAAAGAAAATGAAATAAAAGATTTATTTTAAAAGAATAGTGAAGATTTGTGTAACCTTACCTTTTCCTTTTTTCCTTTTCATTTTTGTTCACTGAAGGCACATATTGATTAAAAGAGGTAAGCGTGCTAGAAATTGAGTAACTGTTCACTTAAGTAGATACTCTACAAAGCAGCAAGATGGTGGTCTGATCGATTGATGGAAAAAGTAGGTACAAACACACATATATTACGCACCTCACACAGACATATATATATATATATATATATATATATATATATATATATATATATATATATATATATATATATATATATTAGATAGATCTCTGTTATTTTCCTGACATATTGTAGCCTATGTTCTGAAATACCCGATGCAAAATACAAGCAGAGGCAGAACATTAAAAATGATAATAGCATTTGATTATTTATTCTTACTAAAGGAGAAATGTATAGAAACATAAAACTATCACACTAAAATTAGATTTTGTAAAACGAATATATAGAAAAGCAAAAAGAACAAAATTAACATTTCAGAAAGGGTGGTTTTAACTAATACATACAAAATTGTCTGATCCTAACCGTATTGAAATATTCTGTGAATAGTACAATTATGGAAATATACTTAAAATGCTCAAAAGTTTGGTAATGTTTTTTGCATTCCATCTACAATGGCGTAATTAACTACGTGTTTCTGTAGAAGCAGGTACATTTAAATTCCTATGCATATAGGTAGGAAGATTTTACATTTACAATCTTTTTAACTGATGTCTTGAATTCCACGCTACTTAAATCAAACAATATGTTGAAACAACTTAAAATTCTAATCTACTTAGCGCAAACAGTTTGTTCCAGCTAACATATAAACCAATCTGAGGACTTTATAGCTAAACAATCTCTTTAGGGAATATCAAATTCCAATATTATATATTCAAATTGTCTTATTCTGTTCTCTTATATACCGTTCATGCAAACTTCAGTTTAGCTACGCATAGTTGAAGCAATCTGTTCAGGTGAAATTCAGTTTTAATATCCTTAGTTCAAACAAATAGTTCAAGTAATTATCAATTATAATTAACTGAATACATTCAATCTGCTCAAATTATCACGCATTCCAATTAGACTATCTCAGACAATCTGTTTAGATAAATCACAGTGTTATTGCGCTGAATTAAAGCCATTTGACCAAGTAACAACTAGTTCCAGCCTGTTGAGTTCACACAATTTATTCATGCAAACTCCACTTATTCAAACAGCAGTTTCGAACAGCATGTTCTAATCGGCTGAGCCCAAATAATCAGATCTGTAACCAGAAACTTTTAAAACAAATGTACAAAAATCTGTTCATGTTCATTTTCATGTAACTTCCAATTCTAATATGCTGAATTTAAACAACCTGATTAAGTAATCTCCTATTGTCATGTTATAAGCTAAAAAATCTTTGTTTAAGGAAAGTCCAATACAAATATAATGGAAACAAATAGGCTATACAAATAAGTTCCAAATGTACAAGATGAATCAAAGTAATCATTTAAGGTAACTTCTAATGGACTGAACTAAACGTTTAAACAATCTCTAGCAGCTCCGATTTTTTTCAAAGCAACTTATTCACATAAATACTCATTTCACAATTACCGAAGTAAAACAATCTTTTCAAACAAACAAAAAATCTAGTCTGCTGAGTTATAAAAATCTGTTCTATGTGATCAAGTAACAAACAACTTCATATCTGCTGAGTCCATAATGTCTGTTTAATGAAACATTGATTCCAATAAATGTGCCTATACACTCTGTTCCAATTATCTCCAATTTCGTATGGTCAGCTCAAATTTTCTGTCCAGTTAAGCACCATTTTCAGACTGGATGGCTCCCAAATTTAGTTCAAATTATAAGACTTTCAAGTAGTTTAATATCTAATGTTAAACAATTGATTCAAATAAATCTAAATCTTATCTGCTGAGCTCAGACTAACCGTCCAAGTAACATCCAATTCCATCCTACTAAGTTCAGATAACTTCCATTTTTAATTTGGAAAATTCAATCGAGCTCTTCAACTAAACACAAATATATTCTGCTGAGTTCAAACAATCTATTCATGTAACTTCCAGTAATTGAGCTAAAATGCCAATTTACTGAATTAAAAAAAAAACTGTTCGAGTTACTTCCATTTATAATCTGCTTATTGTAAACTAATTTCTCAAGTAATCCCCATTTCCAATATGGTGGGCACAACAATCTGTCTGGTAATCTCCAATGTTTCCAAACTTTAATACTGATACACACTAAATTGAAATATCTGAAAGCAAAAGTGAAATCCAAATTGCCGAGCTCCAACAATCTATTAAACTCAAATTCCAATACATTCAGCTCAAGTAATATGTTCAAATAATCCAACCTGAGTCAGCCTAAGTATTCTGATCATGTTATATAAAATTCTAATCTGCTATGTCCAATCATTTCAAGTAACCAGTAACTCCAATCCGTCGAGTGAAAATATAAGATAAAGAACCCCACAATTGTAATATGCATTCAAACCAACTATCATCTGTGTTCAGTATTCTTGAGTAAGAAGAATTTACTTGAGAAGTTCAATCTTCCCAAGTAACTTCAAATTTTAATGTGGTTAGTTGAAATAGACTATTGCAGTGACCTCCAATGCAAATCTATTGAGCTCAAGTAATATGTTAAATTAACTCCCATTTTTTACCTTCAATTTTACACTTAAATTATAAGATGATATTTTCATGTAAATATCAATTCTAATTTGCTAAGCTCAATAATAAGTTGTAGTAACCTCTAATTATAATTATCCAAGTCCAAACAGTTTGTTGAAGCGACTGAAATTATTATCAGCTTTCAAATAATATATTCAAGTAATCCTCAATTAAATAAACTGATCCCAGAAAACGTCCAAATAAACACATTTACATTCAATACATGTGTTCAAGTAACCCCCAATTCTAATCAGAGAATATTAGAAATAGTTTCAAGCAAACTCAAGTATTAATCTACTAAAATGAAAAGAATCACAAATTCAAATGATATTCAGCTCTAACAATTTGGAGCTTCAAATAATATGTGAACTTCAAATAATATGTGAAAGTAATCTCAAATTCCAGTCTGTTCAGCTCAAACAAACTGTTCAAATTATCTTAAATTCAATTCTATTGAACCCAAATGATCTGATCATGTAAATCCAATTCCTACTTCCTAAACTAAAATAAACTGTTAAAATACTATAGCTTTAATCTGCTAAATTCCATTATGGTAATTTCAACTAAGTGGTTCAAGTAACTTAAAAATTCTAACCAAATGAGTATAAAGAAATCTGTTCAAGTAACCCCGTGTTTAACCCGCTGCTTAATGTCATCAAATAATCCCTAAGTGGTGTTCAAAAAGTATGTTCAACAGACGTCCAATTCTAATCTGATAAATTAAATCAATTGTACAATTTCATACATCCTTCCTCTAAAATTTTTCTTGATATATAAAAATTTATATTTCAAGATCAGAACATAATAATGTGTTAAAATATTAATGAGTACGATCTCAAGTGAATGCATATATGTGTCTGTGAGAAAGAGCGACTTCGTGTGTTTTTGATTGTGTGAGAGAAACAGAAAGTGTGATTATTTGTGCATGTAAAAATATGTATATGTGTGGGTATGTTTTTGAGTGTGTAAATGTGTGCATGGGCTTTGGCATGTGTGTAAATCAAGGGATACATTTCACATGAACGACTACAAATTTGTGACATCAGCATAAAATTTTCAGAAAGAAAATTAAATCAGTCCTCAAGCGAACAAAAACCATAATACGAAAATAAAAAAAGATCTTCGAATAGTAGCCAAAGATGTAAGGAAACGATAAATATATTACTACTTTTGACAGATATAGACACATTTACAGCATTATCGTTTAATCTGTTCCTGATCTGCAAGCGAAAAGTGTAGGATATACGTCGTATCCGTGTCTTAGATCCAAAGGAATACCGGCAAAAAATGAAGCTCAGGAAGTTTCTGGGATCTGAGAAAATTTAGTATTTATTAAAACTCAGTATTAAGAGAATTTGACTAATGGAGAAAAGGATAGGGTGTAAAAAACTGTCTCCTCTAATAAAATCTGTATCAGAGGTTCTAATCCTGCTGTATTCTAGTGTCTATTTGTGTTCAATATTTTACTTTTTCGACCATTTGTATAGCATGCAGATAGGGCCAGTGCTAGATTTGCTGGCACCCCGTGCAAGCTGAACTTTCAAAAAGAGAAAAACTCAAAATGTAGAAT